TCATCATGTTGGCTGGCTTCTGATATATTCGTCTTGTATAATCACAGTATACAACCAGTTAAAGATACAGGGCTGCTGGCCAATTGGTTGGTTTAACTTCTGGCTAGATGTCACTGGCTGAATATAGACATTTATTGAAAATTGTAACTTGATTTTAGAGAAAGCAATGTAAAAGGACAAGCGTACGAGAGCTGGACAAAATATAAGTGTTTATGTGTGCTTGAATGAACAGCCTGGCCTTTTGATGTTTCTATGGCAGCTGCAAACTAAGGCATGCTGTGGTTGCTATGACAATGGGGTGGGGGGGGAGTGGTGTGGATGAGTTCGGGTATGCATGTTTGTTTCAGACCTGCCATGGAATGCTGTAAGAGTGTGTGTAAGAGTGTGTGGCAGATGCTCGTGGGTAATTCTGTGTGGTGCGTTTGCCCAACAAGGGGGTCTTTCACAGTCCGAGCCTATGGTCAGTTAAATGATAAACCCTACCATCCCAACCACACCATGTCTCTCTCCTCTCCCCAGGGAGTCATCGTTGGGTCAGTGCTTCCCTCTGCTGCCCTGGTTGTCATGGTTGCAACCTTAAGCGTCACAGGGGACAGCACACAGAGGTGCAAGTCTCTGGAGTCTGCCATGAATTATAACCCAGAGGCTCTGGGGGATGAAGCAGGCTGGCAGCGGCTGAAATATGGTTGCGGTTTTGTTTGCTGTGATATATGGAGGCAGCAGTGCAAGCCACGCTACACTGCTCTGGTCGCACTTTATTTCTCACCACAGAAATTACTGTTTGTTTATGCAGGGAGAATGCAGGACAGAGGTAATTACAGTATAATGGTGCATGGGGAGTTTAGCTGGTTGGGTGGAGATCAAGAGTTCATAACAACCAACCTGAAGGCTGGTTTTGGTAAGGAAGAGGAGAACTGTGCTCGAGTACTTGAAGAGGCTGAAATGTGCAAAAGATTCTTGTGTACAAGTCAAAACATAGTGTGTGAATGCAGTTGTGGCCATGTTTTAGATCTGCTTATTTTAAGCGTACAATTGATTTTAGGGTTGATAAATATTACCTTATTATTTAATATCATATCCTTAGATGAGATACACTGTGCAATTGGGATTTTCTGGTCTGAAAAAAGCTACACTCACAAGTGAATGAATGAATACCTGTTTTGTCATTATATCCAGATAACTTACAACGGATAACTCCAGTTAGGATTGGGAAAGCCTGGGAAGTCATACATCAAATCATTCAGGGTAGTGCTGAATATTGAAGCTCAGTACTTTTTGAGTTGTCTGCTGTATAGGGTATCAAATAAAAAAAAAATCTAAGTGTTTACTCATTCTGATAAGATGCATCTAGGGCTGTCACGAATCAGAATCGTCAAGTCCTGCCTATAGTCGACTGATAGTCGAATCATGTGTGTTTTTGTGGGCGGCGATAGCGAGCGGGGGGGGGGGAACACCCCCATATCGCCAAAATGGCATTATACTTGTTTTGCTGCGAAGCTTCGACTATGAGATTGACAGTCGAGTCAGGCTCGGCCCATCGAATCTTGACTATTGGGGATCAGCCTTAGATTTACATTTACATACAACGTTATCCAAAGCGACTTACAATTGCTATATATGTCAGGGGTCACACACCTCTGGAGCAACTATGGTTGCACAATGGTGTCTCACAGTGCATTCGAACCAGGGTCTCTCACACCAAAGGCATGCGTCTTATCATTATTATTAAAGGCACTGCGCCATCTAATGATTATTTTAATTATCAGTATTTAAAAATTTCAATAAATGCCCATCGCCATTTCCTAAAACCCAGGGGAAAGTCTTAATATGTCTTTTTTTTGTCAAAGCAAATGTCAAAAAGATAAGATATTCAGTTTACTGTCATATAGACAAGAAAAAGCACATTATCTCATTTGAGAAGCATATTTGGCATTCTTGCTTGAGAAATAACTTAAATGATAAATCACATATCAAAATATTTTATATATTGTTTTTTCATCGATTGACTAAATGGTTTATTGACTGATTGATTTGGCTCTAGAGTCAAATTGGCACTGAATAGGCTTGTTTAATTTCATCTGCAATAGAAAGACAGAGCAGAGAAAGTATGGTCTCCCAACAGTATGAGGTGCTGCGTGTCATACCCTCTCTCACTCCCACATTTCAGTGCCTCTCTTCAACTGCTCCTATCAAATAAAGCTCAAAAGCCCCAAAATGTTATCTTAAATAAAGGCATTTTGTGTTTATTTTTTTAACGTTATTGGAAAAAATATTGTTTCAGTAATGGTACCAAAACACTGTATGTTGTTGTATGCTGTACGTAGAATTGACATCTGTATTGAAAGAAAACATACCTCATTATTTGAGTACCAACAAAATTGTGTCTGTAGCAAAAATAGTAAGTAAAAAAAGTATTGAAAGTTGGCGTTGAATGCCTGAACACATTCTTAATATTGTTTACTTGTTCTATGATATTTCCTAATTGAATTCAGAAAATCCGAACTATGCATAAAGAAAGATTTTAAAATTAGGGTTGATAACATGAATTTTATTCTATTACAGTAGGAGTTTTGGGATATTTAATTAGGACTGCAACTAATGATATTTTCATTATAGATTATTCTGCTGATTTTTCTTACTGGATTAATTTATTAATCATTTAGTCCATGACATATTCCTATTGCTTAAATCTGACCAACAGTACAAAAGATGTTCTGTTTACTATCAAACTCTACTAAGAAGAACAGTAAATTTACACCTTTTGAGAAGCTGGAATTTTGGCATTTTGACCTTGAAAAATAACAAATATTAATTAAGTAGCAAAATGGTTAATAGAATTAATCCTCTGCAGAGATAAAAGGAGATGATTCCTCTTTACTAAAAGGCAAATCTGTAGTGTTTTTGGTTTAAACCCAACTCTAAACTCTAGTGTCATTTGTCTAAATAAGTCTTCTGTCATTTGTTGTACTTTTGTAAGATTCTCATTCTCGTGAAAACTTTTCATTTATTCTAGCTGCCTCTGTAGGGCCTACTCATACCAGGCAGTCCAGTTCAGATAGTGTGTGTAAACAGCACAAGTGATGTGGTGTTAGTGCTGTGTTCAGCACTATGATCCATATCTACAGAATGTGTCTGCCCACAGCTGTATAGAATATAAAATATATATATATATATATATATATATATATATATATATACACAGACCACCATGCTGCTGCAGTGCCTTATGTAAGCTCAGTGAAGTACACCATCAGCACTATTATCTGGTCCCACGCTGCCAAGCTTATGGCTGAATAATATTAAGAAAGGATAGTTCTGTCTCCCTTATTAAAGTGTTCACCCTTACTAGAGGTTTACCCTCTTGGCACTACCTCCCTTCTTTTTCTCTTCTCTCCAAACCTTGTTCTTTTATTTCTCCTCCACCTCTTCTTTAACTTTTCTGAAACTCTACTCATCCCTTCCCCCTCTCCTCTCTTTCACTTCCTTATTGCCATGTTTATGTCCTCTCCAATGTTTATTTCTTCTCTTCCTTATTGCTCCCCTTCCCTCTTCTACATCTTTAACCTCCGTATGCTTCCCAACCACCTTTTTTTAGCCACAAGTGCTGTGCCTTTCGGGATGTCAATGTTGGTCTGTCATTCACTTCACCACTCTGGTCCAGACTGAAATATCTCAACATCTATTGGATAGATTCATGTTCAGTTTTGGTACAGATAACCACGATGCCCAAAAAATAATAACTTTGTTGCTCCCCTGACCTTTCCTTTAGCTCCAGCAAGTCAAAGTTCTCACTTATCATGTGCAATATCTCAACATCTACTCGATGGATTTGCACAAACATTTGGAGAGACCATCATGCTCCTCAGACATTAATTGATACTGACTTTGGTAATCCCCTGGCTTTTGCTCTGTCGCCACCACGAGGCTGACATTTGTGGTTTTGAGTGAAATGTCTCAACAACTTGGATGCATTGGTGTGAAATTTGGTACAGACAGCCTCTCAGGATGAACTGATATAACTTTTGTCATCCCTTGACTTTTCACCTAACACCATCTTCAGGGGGTGGTTTCAGAAAGACAGACTTTGACTGCGAATGGCTTACTACCGATCTAACTAATGAACCTCAGTGAAAACTAACTATGCTACTCTCTCTCTCTGTCTTTGTCCCTCATCTCTGGCTTTCTTTGTAATCAGCTTACTATTGGTACTCTTTAATCAACTAGATTTTGTCATGATCTCCTTCAGCTAATCATATTGTTGCTGTCACACATCCCATTACCAACTCCACCAGTATCTAGACTCCATCAGGGGTGGATCCTATACTACTCATGGCTTTACTAACCCCTTAAAAATATGATGATGTCATGACTGAGTCTAATTGCCAAAGACCACTCACCAAATTAACTCTCTTCTGATTGAAATAGTCAGACTGTACATTAATTCATTGCACAAAGCTGTTTCTTTCATGACTATTGTAAGTAAGAATAATTTAATGAATTCTGGGTAAATTAAGACTTTATTCCATACTAAAACACATGTCTGACCAAGCAACCGCGCCAAACCTCTCAGTTCAGAAATGTTCAGAAAATGTTCGGCTTTTGGATAAGTTCAACCGTTACAAGGACATTTTAATGAGAAAATTCATTAAAGAGTGAAACAATGCCAAAAACATCCAGTAGCATAAAATCTTAACGCAGTGCAGACCTGTAGCAGAGCTGAGTTCTTCCACTTACTCACCAGTCAGGCACAGTATATTTCCAGTTTGTTACTGCAATGTCTTTGCTTTGCTCCACATTGTAAGTAAACCACAAATTATGAGCCATGTTTTGCTCTTTTTTTGTCAGTTGGTGCCATTGGTCAGCATGTAATACTGATTATTACCATGGAAACATGGGACTTGAGTTAGCCTGGGTATAAGGTGACAAATGTTTTTGCTTCATCCATGTTAATTGTTTTTTTGTTTCACTTTTTTCCCTCTCTCTTCCGTTTTTAACTCCAGGACTGGGTTTTCCTCACTCGCTTCTGCTTTCTCACCGACTTTGGACGTCTGGACTTCCGGTTCCGCTATCCAAAGGTAGGATAACTTACTGTTAGCTGTGCTGTGTTTGTTTGTGAATGTTTTACATCTATAATTTTCAATAAATGTTCCACATTGCCTCAGCTTGTCACCCTATCTTCTCTGGCAACATAAGCATTTTACTTTTCTTCTTTCTCCATCCTTTCTTTCTCTACTTTTCTATCTTTCCTCTCAACTACCTCTCTGTCTTTCTTTCTTTCTTTCCTTCCTCTTACCACATCTAAACTGATGTCATCGCTCTTTCTCTCTGCTCTCCTTCCTCCGGCTGTTCCTGCTGTACCCACCTCGTCCTCTTTTTCTATCCCCTACTCCTTTTTCTCTCCCCCGCTCTATCTTTCTACTCGTCTGTTTTGTTCTTCCGCTCTGTCTTCTTTTACCCGTGTCTTGCTTTACTGTTGTAGCCTGCAGACTTTGGAAACAGTTTTTGTCGTATAAATCTCAAACTGTCTCACTGCCTCCTCTCGGATCTATGCACTCTCTGTTTTCTCTCTCTGTCTCTCCTCTATGCAGTCTCGTTGCTGTCAGAACATATTGCTCTACTTTGATGACAGTTCTCAGTGGCCAGCTGTGTACAAGAGGCCTGAAAAGGTGAGATACTGACACCGTCTGGATCATGTCTTTTGCCAAGCCATTAAATTAAAGAGACACACAGCTTCATTTACTAATTTGCATGTCACTGTTGTAATGAAAAAGCCCTGTGACTCCAATTTAGTTAATTTTCCCATTTTAACTTGAACTAAAGGATCACACGCTGCTCATGCTGCTCAGAATAAAACAAAGCTGTCTTTCACAGTTCCTGAAAGGCTTTTCACACACAGGCAATGATTTATTATTGATGATACATGCAGTGATCAAGGATGGTACAATCCATACTTATGAACACGTCTTGAGACAGCAGAGAGTTCTGCTTGAACTGACGCTGCTCTTTAGAAAATGACAGTGGGAAGATTTTCTGCAGATAGATGTCTATGTTCTGCTTCGGAAGCTGTTTTACTGCCATTTATAGAAAAGTTTTTGGACAGTCATACATTTTTTTGGTTTTGGCCCAGTACTCGAACACATTACATCCTAAATAAAACAATTAGGGCTGGGTTTCGTTCAAAGATTTTTGATATCGATGCAATACCTCAACTTCAATACCGGGTCCTAAACGATACTTTTTTGGATACCAATTTTATACTCAACAAACTGAGAACCATTGTTGTTTGTATAAAGTAACTTAATTATCACATTATTATCATTAATATTGTTTGTTATTTTAATAATTGTTCCTTTTGAAAAATTCTACTGCTTGTCAAAAAGCAAGACATATTTTCAGTGTATATGCCTATATTGTGTTTTTGTTGTTTTTATTCCTCTTTCTGTAGTTTTTATAATGTAATTTTATTGTTTATTAATTATATATTTTTATTGTTTAAATGTGAATTTGTGCTCTGGCAACATTGTAACCTAAACATTCATGGCAATAGGCGTGAGAGAAAGAGAGAGAGAAATCTCTCATCTCATGGAAACAAGTTTATGCCACAACATATCAACGTTTCCTCCTCACTAGAGGAAGAGGTGGCCAGGCAACAACTATCACAATAGAAAGTAAACTCAATCGCGTGTCTTCATTCCACTGCAGCAAAGTCACAGGATCGGTACGTGATGTCACCCTCACACAGAAGCGCTTCCGCCTGCTGCACATACAGGTGCGTGTGTCGCGGTGGCGTCACCTACTGATCCTTCAGAAATGCTCGGGAAAATGTAGCGTGTGTGGACGCTACTCGGTCAATAAAAGACCTTTGTTTTGATTTGATTCACGAAACAGCGACGCCACCACCAAGCTACTGAGAAATGTACCATAAAACTTCAATTAATAGCCGAGTCCCAAATAGCCACCTACCTCCTTTACTGGCCTGGTGTGGGAACACATTTTGACAAACCTTGGTCTGGTTTTTATAGAAGTTAGATTCTCCACAATACCACTCACTAAGTGGTATTTAACGGAAACAACAAGACCCAAAGTCTAATTCTTATTATTTAATATATTCCTTTAGTCTGTAAGGGTCCACCGATCAAAAGAATCAAAACAGCTTTTCAGAAAAATTTATCCAAGTTGTGAATCCTGTCATGTGAAGTCCATCGCTCTCTGTCTGCTAACTTCTCTCATCCTGCACCGTGTTGTTGTTTTCGATAGGTTGCTGCCTTCAAAATAAAAGCGCAAAAGCCGTCTGTGGGAGCTAGATCGAATGACGTGTATTTCATAATATTTGATAATTTTTACATAAGTATTATTCTGTTTGAAATAAAAACGGTTTCATAGTAGTTTCAGTTTTGTGCAAAAATAATTAAAGGCCTGTCCCATATGGACGCCTGTCCCAAATATAGGCAGGGTCAATTCAGTGATTTTAGCAAATAAAAGCCCGGGCTATTATTCAAAGTTTTACGGTAGTTAATCTAGTAAGGGGGCCCTGCGATGGACTGGCGACCTGTCCAGGGTGTACCCCGCCTTTCGCCCAATGTCAGCTGGGATAGGCTCCAGCCCCCCGCGACCCTGTACACAGGATAAGCGGTTGACGATGGATGGATGGATGGAAACTAGTAATGGCGCTACTTGTAGCATGTTGAAGCAAGCTCTGTCTTGTTGGAGACATCAAAGATGGAGTAATTTTCTGCTCTTAAGTTTATTCCATGCTCAGTCAAGGGCTTCACCAGGTCTTGTGGCCGCTCTTGGCAGCAATTATCTTACGTCACAAATATTGCATTGCGCTGTTGCATCAAGCCTGGTGCAATGTAGCCACACTTTTGATTTTCTCCACGTCTTATACATCCACGAGCAACGTCTCTGTGCATAACTGGCCTGAACTAGTGTTTACATGACCACAGCCATCAAGCATACTGCATGCTTATTGGCTCATTGACGTTACCAAGAACCTTTAGGTATGGAATTTGGTACCGAAAGACAGTTTTTGATGCTCGATGGTATTGAGGCAATTTGGTCGGTTTCCTAAAAAGTATTGAACTCGATACCCAGCCCTAAAAACAATACAGGGTAATGTGCCTTTATTTAAAGATAATTATATCCCTATTGGGTGAACATTTTAGGAAATACATCCCTGTCTTTGTACAGCTGCACTGTTCAAAAGAAGGGGATTCGATGTGCTATGAATAATATTGATATTGTTCACCCAACAATATCATTAGGTTAACAATAATTGAACATCCTTAAAACTGAAAGTCAGCACTTCAGCCTCATTGTCATTGTTTTATTTCAAATCCAGTCTGCTTGAATACAGAGCCAAAACAATAGAAAATGCGTCTTTTTCCATGCCGGCTGCACTGTATGCATTTTGAGTAATTCCTATTTTGGTGAGCTGGCAAACTTATTCTCCCATCCACAATCTCTGCAGTGTACATTTAACGTAAGGTTGATTGCATAATTTTAAGTCTTAGGTCTGAGATTTTTGTTTTTTATAGAGTGTGGATTCATGTAATATTGGCCCCATTGGCCCATTCATGAATCGTTAATCTGTGTCTTATATGCCACAGTCAGCTGGTACTATAAGATATAACATGATACAGTCAATAAAACCAACATTAAATTGCTTCCACAACCATGAATAATGTATGATGCGACCATTTACTATAGCCATATGTTGGTACCCTACACTCACTCATTTTAAAAGTTGTGCTTAAACAGCCTTGTGTTGTTTTATCAACACATGACATTTGATGTAGCTGTAAGTTATTACAAATACAGTTAGGGTTATGATGTGTTTTGTGAACTATATAGGAAAATCCATGGTATGGTCTAGCAGAGTTAAAAAATAAAGAACAACATTGACCAAAAACCTTGAATTTCTTGGCCCATTTGATGATTTGGTGGTGTATTCTTCTTGCGGATGTCTTTTGACACCCAAATGTGACACTATGTTAAGATATTTTCAGCACAGTTACAAAGAGAGTTTGTGTCAGTTTCCTAGAAACAAATAGCGATGCCTTTATTCTACACTCACCATTTCACACTAATATTCAGCACATTGGACACAGGGAGAAATCCATCACAGAAGAGACAAAAAATATCAATTTTAATTCCAATCACAGCAGCTGCAATGGACCAGAAGGCAATGTAGCCATAATTTAAATTACATTTTGATTAAACACACATTGCATTTTCCAGACTGGAAAAATGTTCTCTTATGCTTTTACTCCTGCTCTGTTATTACTTTACATTTACATTACATATTCTAGGTATAACCTGCAGCTGCATGCAACAAGTCTGTGCACTTCTTCTGAGCTTTATTGAAAAATATTTTGTGAAATGTGTGAAAATGGAAATAGATGAGAGTGGCTGAGGGTAAGAAAATACAGCAGAAATTTCAATTAGGGCCGTTTTGAATGTTTTAAATGTTGTTCCTATTTTGATTTTACTGTGTTTTCTGCCATCAGAACTGCTACCAGAAGGAAGCGGTGCTGAGGCCTGAGAACAACCAGGTCATCAACCTCACAACACGCTACACTTGGTCGGGCTGTGTGGTAAGAGCACACGCACAAATTTATACAAACACTTGTGTGTCGCTGAGAATCCTACAGAATCTAATGCAGGGATGCTGCTCTGTAACTCAAGTTGACCTCTGACCTCTCTGTGTTGTGAGAGGTGCGCATTACAGACTATCACATTATTCCTTTTATCACCAGACAGTTGAACTTATTTTCATCTTTCCTGTTGCATATTCTTTTGTAATGCAAAAAAGGAACATTAATATGTAAGAGATGTAAACAGAGCGAGCGAGAGAGAGAGCGCTAATGGCCTGTAATGTGTTTTTGTAACATTTTACTGATTCACACATTTCCACTCTTGATGATGCATCCAAGTCAGCCAGAAAAGGTCCAAAAGATATTTCTCTCCTGTAACACCTTTTTAAAAAAACAGAAAAACTTTTTTCAATAAACAACACAACGTGTGTGTTTAACACATTAGGAAGTGTCAGTGCCAGCGTGACTCTGTTGTTGTGATCTTGTTCCCACATTTTAGTCTATATTGAGGTGTGAAATGTGTTTATATCTTGATGTATCAGGCTCCCATTCTACTGTGATAATTCAGTCTGTCTCTTAGGTAAAACACGCTGATGTTTTGGTTAATGACATCCGCTGTTCACCCCCTCCCCATGCATTTCTTTTATCTTTCTCTCAGGTTGAGGGAGACGGGAACGAGGAGGTTCTGAGCTGCGTGGGCGGCCGTAGTTTTCGCTCTGTGAGGGAAAGATGGTGGTACATCGCTCTCAGCAAGTGTGGGGTAAGCACTGACCTGTAACTTCCCTGACCACCCTGACTCTTCCTCTATATGAGGGCAGGTGTACTAACAGGCGGTTTCCATGGTGACGCACACACAGACTCAGAGGGCTCTTGTGCAAACAGACCCGTGTAGTCACTGTTTGTTTATCTGAAGATCAGAAGAAAACAAACATCCCCATCGTCAGCATCATCATCTATCCAAAAATCATTCAAAATTAAAGACAGATTGTTCTTTAGGAGGATAATTGATAAGAGATAAGAGAGTTGTGTACTTTCTTAGATATTTATAAATATATTGCAATGCAGATTTTTTGAAGAGTTATTTTAACATTTAAGTTTTTGCAGTCAAGCAAAAAAACAGATTTCAGGTGCAAGCTGCAGCATCTTAAAAGCATATTAGCTTAAAAGCTCAGGCAAAAATATACCAAGAATACCCCGAGGAAGGCTCTGTGAAACCCTGGATGTTTTAAGGCTACTTTTTGTGCTGCCTCCCTTTTAAATTTTAAATCAACTTGAACATAATTTTTGTCCCAGTATGTGCTTTCCCATTTGAGCAGTTTGCACAGGCTACATTTTAAATTCTAGAAATAAAGTAATCTAAGTAGGCAAAATAAGGAAATTTAACCATGTGATTTACAGTAATTAAATGAGATGGATGGATAGATAGATAGTAAAGATTCCAATTTAGAAAATATTGATATTCTGCTAAAGAATTTGAAATGCTGCTGCATGTTACAGACCACCAGACTCAATTCTAAATGTAGTATAGCTAATAGTAATGCTTTCTTTTCCAAAATGCCCCTCACATCCCCATGCCCTACTCACTTCATCTGTTACAGCTGACCCTGAATCTGTGCATCTCTCTATGAATTGCCTCTGAACACCATGAAGCGTTTTATCTCTCTCCCATGCTACAGGGCTTTGTGCAACAAAGACTCTTAATATGTGACTCTCTGCTTAAACTGTGCTAAACATGCCTTACAAGGATTCCACTGAAGCCTATTGATTAGCTAGCTTCAGGGACTTTTAAGCAGTGTGTTGTTTTATAATGGGACTCAGTATTGTGCTAATGGTGTACCAGGAGAAAAAAGAGCGAAGTGGTAGCTACAGTGTGTTGTTTGTTGATGTGAGTCTGGACTGGGGCACTCGGTGAAGAAATCATGACCATGTGTAATGATAGCTCTGCTTAGTGATGATGCATCCTCCTACACCGAGGGCTTCAGTCAAGGACGAAATCCCAGGAATATGTGTGTGTGTGTGTGTGTTGTTTTTTTTATGTTTGCAGTGTTTTCATGTTTGTGAAAGTGGAGGAGGAAAATAATGAATAAGTAAGATTCCTGTTGAATGTGGAAACTGAATGTCTGCCTGCCTGTCAGTGTCATTCTCTGGGTTACATCAGTGTCATGCTCCTGGACATGATTCTGCGTGTGTGTGAGAGAATTGTTTTTTGTGGGTTTGTTTTTGTGCTGTCGGTTGAGAGCGCTGGCTGAAGAAGGATATGATTAGAACGGATGCTTCCCGCAGAGTGTGGTTTAGTGTCACGCCAGCATCCGCTGATAGACACGCTGCCTAATGCTGTTGAACTAAAGTATAAAAGCTCTTCTCCACTCCCGGGGACATATGCACGCTTCTCCCCGCATCCAATTTCCACCCCTTGCCTGCCTTTTGCTTTCACACCTATCTGTCTTTTCTACCTCTGTCGCTCACAATCTTTGGCTACGTCCCCGCTCTCTTTCAACTCTCTGTCACCAAGCTATGACGCACTCCATGCCATTTCATATCTATTTACCTCTCCGTCTTCTGCTCCTCTCTGTCAGCCTGTCTCTAATTGCATTTTTCCCCTCCATCTTGCCATCTCACTGGTCTCATTTCTTCTCTGCTTCTCGCTCATTCCATGCATTTTTCTAAACACTTTTATGTGCTACTACATATTTTCCTCTCCTTGTCCCTGTTTCTCTCTTATCCAGCGCTCCTTTCATGTGCTTTCCATCTCAGTCTTTACCTGTGCTGAAGTGGGTCTAAATCTATATCGGCTCATAAGCTCTTAAAACCAGAGGATGACTACTCTCACTCCCCAGATTTAGACTTGCCTGCACAAAATGGTAAAATGTGAGGTTGAGCATTATTCAACATTTCCAGGCAATTTCACTTGATTAATTATAGCAGGAAACCTCAAGGCTGCAAATAATCATTATTTCATCAGGAGAAAAAAGACAGTCATTATAAATAAAATTCAGGTCATCACAAATTACAGAGCAGGGGACCTCTGGCAGCCAGGATGAAGGATATTCAGACTAGTAAATTGTCAGAGTAACCAAAGTGCACTAAAATTAGCAGGCTTGAATGTTATTTTTTTCTCCAGCACATGCCTTTGCATGAATAATAATTTGATCATTTAAAGTCTCAAAACTTTTAAAAGCTTTCTTTACAGACATACATCACACTGTACAGTCCAGCTCTAATTGCACCTGTGCAGCACTGTACAGCCACAAAGTTTTGAGAATTTGCAGTAATATAACTCGTTAGGTATAACTAGTCGTACCATTAATTAAAAATAAACAGTTTATGAGGCATTTATCCTTGAAACAGAAGTGGAGAAATGGAAAGCTTTGAATGGGTGTAATCAACCTCTGCTTTATTATGTTGAGCTGAACTGCTGTTAATGAAACAAAATTACCTCAGTAGGGAGCCAAGGAAGCACTGAAAAAATTAAACTGGCTGTTAATGGACACAGGCAACTAAAATGGCCAAAATTTCTCCGCTGTCTACTTGCCCAGGTGACTCATCCAAACAGTGTTGAAACATGCCCGCATCTGCTGTATTTTCTCCAGTTCTGATTTTTAAAATTGTATATTATATCTCTCATTAAGGCTTGACAGTCACATACTGAAGATGGATCATTATTATATTTTTCTTTGCCAGATGGGGAGTCAGGTTGGCCTTGAAACATTGCGCTCTTTTAATGTAATAAATAAGACATAATAACAGGAGTATTTGACACTGTTGTGAGTCTTTTGGGAGAGATACCCACCTTTTCTAAGAAATAAACAGACCTGATGATTTGTAGATTGTGTTACTCACAGTGTGAATACAGGGCAATACTTAAGAGTGTGATTCTGCTACAATATTTGTACCGTGTATTATTCTAAAATACACTTTGTCAGGGCTGCAAGAATTATTTTTATTATCCGCTACAGTTATCATCTATCTGGTGATTTTCTCAATGAATTTATTTTTCAGATTATTGTCAGCTCTACACTTTAAGGCATTCTTGTAAATGTAGGATCCAGTGTGACTAAAAGTGAGGATTGCTGCTGCTTCAGTTTTGACCATTATTTAGTAAATTATGCATTAAATGCCCATGGTTTTGGAATGACATATTAAACAATAACATATGGATGTAATGTTTGGGTGTCCATATACTTTGTTTAGATATCCAGTGTGCATAACTAATTGTCCACGGTCAGTTTTCTGAGAAACACTTAGGTAGGTGCCCTAAATTGTAAGTTAGAACCAAACACTTAATGTTCCAGAGATGAGATCCACCCTTACAAAACAACAGACAAGGGGTGTTTGGGTGAGAACACCATCAGCGTGGGATACATCAGTACAGTATATCAGAAATGGATGCCTTTTATAAGTGAAACCAACAAGCAACCCCCTAAAATCATCCTGTGACTCCCTGTCAGTCCCACAGAGGGAGAATCCCTGTTGTGTGAAGTAGTACTTTCATCACACCCCTTATCTATCCTTACTCTCCTGCATCCATCCCTCTTTCCCTCTTTGCATTTGCTCTTTTTTCTTCATTCTGCCATTCTCCTTAACTGTTTTTTTCCTTTTAACTTTCTCTCTCTCTACCTATCAGTCTTTATCTCTGTCTCCTTGCTCTTTGTGTCTGTATTGATTTTGTGGCAGTGCACGCTCCACGCTTCTCGCCCTTTTTGATAGAGGGAGTGAGATGGAGTCTCAGGCTGCCAAATGAAATCAAAGTCTTTTTTTCCTCCTCCTCTCTTCTCCTTCGCTCCACCGCAACATGCGCAAACTCTATCGGCTTTGAACTTGTGTGTGTGAAATGAGCTCTCTGTGCTCTGATTGTCAACCCATCTCTGTCCCCCCCCTCTCTTGTTCTTGCTCCCCATCCCTCTTTTTTCTCACCTCCCAAAGACACTTTTTTATTAGTGTGACTGCCAAAAATTAACATCATTCAGACTGTGGTTTACCACACAGGTACGTTCATTTTCTCCATGGTATTTCTCCTTTCCTGCACACTTACCTATAGTACCCAAATATTCTCTTTCTGTGCTTTCTTTCATGACATTGCAATGCAGAACAATTATATCAGACACTAACTATCAATAATGGAAAAACAAGAATACTCAGTAAATCAGAGGAAACCGCTATGGATGTGATCCATCCATCCTTGCTTCCTGTTAATCTGGGTCATCTTCTCATTGGAAGTACAGCAGGCAGAGCAGCCTAGATTCATTTTATTTATCCTTTAACTTCCTCCACACACCTGGGGGATCCCGAGGCACTTTCAGGCCAGCTTTGGGGCTGACTGACTATATGTCCCTCACCAAGGAGGATGTGGATGTTTTCCTTCTCTTGTATCAGGACAAAGTTTGAGGATATCTGGGCAGTTATTTAAACTTCAAGCTGTGGTTGGAATGAATTTTATGCTAAAACACGCTCAACTCATCAAACTAAATCCCAAAGCTGCAACAGAGAAGAACAGCCCATCCACTGAAGTCACATGCGGTACATTCGCCCTGTTCAATCACTTGACAGTCTGGTGTGAAGAATGGGCATCAGTGGAAAATTTGTGCTGCAGGAAATGAATAATCAGCGATCTTACAGTACAAAACACAAACCTGTCTAATGATCAGCAGCAATGTAAGATGTTTTTCACCATGATTGTGCAGTTATGGTTTCTGATTGTAGAAGTTAAAGCAGGGTGTTGACATTGTGATATGAGATAGCGGGACATATTCCAAAATGCTGCTAACTGCTGTTAGTTAGTTAGCTCAGTTAGCTATGGAGCTAACTTAGCACAGTGCTATGAGTTCAGAAGCTTCAGTAGATATATTTGCAACACAATACAATGATGTCTAACATGACGTCAGAACTGTTACTTATTCACATTCTGTTGATAATGTTCTTTCATTTTTTTATGTTTTAAACAAACATTCTGGCCTCTTTAAAGGCTGCATTGCTGATTGTATGTGATCTTTCTGAGTAATGATTTCTACTTGCTTAGTGTGCATTTTTAGTACCAACTGAGTTAGCAGTCTTGTGTGGCTGCTTAGACAATATTTAACTTTTAAGAATGTTGGCATTTTTTGTTAAATAACAAAAAAAGATGATAAAGTAAGGTATTGCAATTGTATTGGAACTCATACCAAAACATGTCAAAGAAAACCAAGAAATTCTACCTCAAGCCTGGAAGGAGATTGTTGACAGTTTAATGAAGTACCATCATGAAATGAAAAAATATATAATATTAATTTCTCCCTTTTGGTTTATGATTTTATTTTTCAAAAACGAATGCAGCACGTGCTTTACAGAGCAGATACATATGCTGTAGCAGAAAAAATCTGTAATTTAATTTCATTTGGATTTAAATCATGTCTGGGTGACACAGCACTCTGAGGTTCATACAGTTTCCAAAACACAAAATTCAAGTCCAGCTAACACCTTTTTTTCTCTCCCAAAAGGTTCTGTAGGTCTCCATCATCAAATTTATAATGAAAAAGTAAAATGTCAAAGGAATAATTTTCAAAAATATATTTAAAGAGTTACCTTTCACTGACATTTCAACCTGCAGTGTAAAGATCATAAAGCCTGTAACACTGCAAGAGAATACACTTTTAATCTCACCTGCCTCCTTGCTCTTTCTTTCCCTCTGTTGACGTTTGCTCCTCTCCCGTCTCTCGCAGGGCGATGGCTTGCGGCTGGAGTATGAGATGAAACTGACCAATGGCCAGTCATTCTGGACGCAGCATTTTTCTGCAGATGAGTTCGGTAAGAGTGATTAGACAGAAAGAGAGAGATTATGGAACGAATCGCTGATGGCACACGCCAACACCACTTAGCACGGCCAATAAAGCACACTGAACTGAACAAATTACAATAATGAAGAAACGGCTGAATGAATTAATGATGATAGATGAACTGAGAGTAAGGGATGAAAAGAAGAAGAGGCCCAAGTACCTCCTAAATGAATTATTCCTACATCTTCAATGTTCTGTCTCTCTCCCACTCTCCTTCTACTGGAACTCTCTCTCTCTGTTTCTTAACTAATCCAATATCCTCATCACGTACCTGCCTCTCCGATTTTTCATCCCTTTATTTTTCTACCTTCCACGTGTCTTCTTCACCTTGATATTCTGTGAACCTCATTGACTGCTTTACTTTCTGGTTTTGATTCAACCACCTCTCTTGCATCTTCATTTTTCCCTTTCCTACCTTTTTCCCCCCATATTTCATTCTCATCAATTATTCTGTTTCCTCTACATTCTCCATCTCCTATTCACAGGAATCTTGGAGACAGACATTACGTTCCTGGTCATCTTCTCCATGGTGTTCCTCCTCTCCTGCTACTTTGCCTGTAAGTACTGTCTTTTCCACTTATTGTATCTCTCTTTCTCCCTCTTCTATGAACAAACCAATTCTGAATTTCTAAGTCTGCAGCAGTCATTAAGTGCCCTTTTCCTCAGATCTGTTATAAAAATCTACATGCTTTCTTGATGGGCTAGGAGTAAGTCTTCATGTTTCCTCTGATAAGTAAAGGTGGAGCATGTGCCTATTTTTTCTTGGGGCCTGGAGTTTGTCAGAACAGAGAATGAGCAACATAAAAAGCAGGGGTGAGAGGATGGCAAGAGCGGGGTTTGGTTTTCGTGTAAAGGTTAACGGTTGAATGGAGAAGGTATAGACTTAAGGTTATTGAAGCGAGTTAGTCACACGAAGGTCACAGCTCACATAACCCGAAGCAGCTGAGAACAAAAGCTCCAAGGAATGACTTACCCACTGGATGAAAACTCTTCATTCCCTGCTTTCGTCACGTAAGGTTATCATGTGCAGCCACGTATCTTCCTTTTTCCAAACTAGTAGAGGGCTGATTCACCTAAATTACAAAAAACATATTTTCTAGTGCAGTGGTTCCCTATTTTCTTGTGCAGTGGTTCCCTATCTCTTTGGCTTGTAGCCCCCTTAAAATGAAGCAGTGTCTGCTTGTAACTAAACATCACAGATTATGGCCTTAACTTGTATTATTAGCAGCTCAGCTTAAGTCTAGTTTTCCCTCCTCAAAATTTTAAGGATTGCCTGATGAGGTGAAAGTTTCCAGTATTAACAAGAAAAAAATTTTCTCATCCTCATCTTGAGAACCCATGGAGGGATGATATCTGTCCTAGCAATTTCTAGCCGTACAGATAGTTTTGGTTTTATTTGCCAAGATTTTGAGAAATGTGTCCCTGAGATTTCTGCAGCCACCCACATACAATGGAGGTGAATTGAATTTGTTTTTGTGCCCACGGCTATAAAATATTACAATTAAAAAAGAAACAGATTCTCTGGATAATCAACAGATCACACTCAATTTTTATTGGGACTATTTATTTGGTCTGTGATTATACAGAGTAATGAGGAATGAAAATGTACGTTTTTACTGCTGTGAGTACCATGAAGGTTAGAAGTCTCTGACAGGAATGTCTCAAAATAAAAGTGAAAACTGTCTAATTCACGGGTCCTTATCAACACACTTACAAATATTAAGCTCCAAAATTTGCATAAAATAACCTTAAAAAACTGCAATTTCATTTAAGTGTTTTAGAGTCAAATGTATCCAAAAGTGCATATAATATTTGGAAATGAAAGTGGACCTGTATTGACTTTAAATACAGGGGGTTGGGGGAAGTTTATTCCTTGCCATATTGCAGAGCAAGGCTACATAATGAGGCGCAAATTCACCTTTTGACGCTTGGATTCTGCTGAAACTTATTTTATGATTTTATGCAGATTAGGAGAAGGCCTTGAATGAACTGTTGTATCTTATTCACCATGTGTATGTATACTGGAATATTCACTCACGTAGAGGCTTGATTTTAATTGAGTTTGAGTTTTATAAATTTGCAAGAGTTCAAATCAAGCAAAAGACAAAAAAATGACAATGTTGTAGAAATGGAGGAGAAAAGGCCTAAACGGACATATTCATAACGTCTACCTAATTGAAAACAATATTCACATTGTCACAGATTTATGCAGATTATGAAAGAGAAAGAAAGATTTGAAAGGTTATAAAAAATTGAAGTCCGGAGAAGATGACCGTATTTTCATTCTTGGGAGGAATGTTCCTTTGACAGCCATCACCCGAGTGCCTTTGAGGAAATCACAGGAGGATCCAGCAGCGTTTGGCTTGCCAAGCCTGTCGTTATACAGGGCAGCTGTGAGTGCATGCGTGAACGTTTATGACCCTTCCTCCCCCTGTAAATTCCCCCCCCCCAGGCCACTGTTGTTTGTAGGAGTATTTTGGTAGTAAAATTGCCTGCTTAAATACGCATTAAAAGTATTTCCTCCCAGATTAAGGAGAGAGGATAGAGAAGATGTATAACGTCTCATCTAGAGACCCGCATCACAAGATGGATGCATACTAATGGTCTCACCCCTCCCTATTTATCTGGCCCATTCCCTGGTTCTTTTTTCTCTTCTCTCTGTCTCTCACTCTGTATCTCACTCTTGCTCTCCTTCGCCATCTGTTAGCATATCTCCATCCTTTTTATCTCTATTCCCACCAACACACGCACATCCCATCCATCACCTCTATTTCATTTTTGTGTTTTGTTTTCTCCCTGCAGACAATCTGAAGGGAAGACAGCTTCTTCACACAACCTACAAAATGTTTATGACAGCGGCAGGTGTGGAGGGTGAGAGCTTCTGTCCCGAACACACACACACACAATCAGGATGACAATGAGACTCTTGCACAGCCGCACCATCTCATACCTTAATCCCAACTTCAAGAGCCAAGATATTATCGCCCTTATTAGCCTGTGAATAGGAACTATTGCAAACAGCCGTGCTGCGTTACAGTGTTCAGTGGAGCATGCTGTTATTGACGAACACCCCCTCACTCTTCTCACCCTATCCTCTCCTTTTTCTTCCCTCGTCTTATCTCGCATTTTTCCTTCTCGCTTGCTTGTCCCCTCTTCAAATCCCTTCTCTATTCTCCTGCCACCTCTAAATTATATCCCTTTCCTCCCACTTCTTTCAAGCCTGCTGCTCCTTTTTCATCTCTTTTTATCAATTATTTTCTGTCTCTTTTCTCTTCTCTCCATTTCTCTCCCTTTCTCCTACCACCTCCCCCTTTCTCTTTACTCGTTCTCATCTCACTGTCTTCCTTATCTTTTCTTTACTTCTTCTCTCTTACATCTTCTTTTCTACCTGTTCTCCTCTTTTTTTCCCCAAAAACCCATTCTACTGCTCTGCCATATCTTTCCACCTTTCTCTCTTCTCCTCGCCCTCCTTCTCCCTTTCTCTCTGATTTTATTCCCATTTCTCTCTTCCCTGCATCCTTTCCATTTGGCAGTGCTCAGCCTGTTGTTCCATTGTGTCTACTGGGGCCTGTATGCTAGAGATGGAGTCGGCAACGGCAGCCTGAAAATACTTGGTGAGTTCTTTTCCTGCATCAGCCACTGACTGACTGACTGACTGAAACTGCCTCTGCACTGGAAAATCCCATGCTGCCTGAGCAGAATGAATCAGTGGACTATGATGCACGTGTGTGCACGTGAAAAAGTGCAACAGTTGGTTTGATGAGCATGTGCAAGACCATAAATGATTTTGAAGAACCATTGACTTTGCCTTAATTTGTAATGATGTCAAGTTACATACAAGTTAAAGTAAATAGGACAAACACAGATGAGAATAAAGAAAAATGAGTCAAACAGTTGAGGCAGGGTTGAGGCAGGGAGGTTTGTGATCATTGTTATACATTGTCCGTAGGCTAGTAGAATATTGATTTTTAGTGTGCGTTGAAGATCATTCCAGGAATTTGAGGCACTAAAATAAAAGGCTGATTTTCCAAATTCATATTATGAGTGTCATGAAGGGCATTAAAGGAAAGTTCTAGGTTCTAAATGGCTAGGTGTACAGAATCAGCAATATAGTGGACAATAGTGTCATCTGCATAAAGATGGACTTACCAGCCACTTAGTGGAGAGACTGTATCATTAATATAAATGATGAAGAGGACCTAAAATTGAACCTTGCCTTTTGTTAGCAGCAAGAAATCAGACATGCCCCAACTTCACACATTGCAGTCTATCAAACAAATAATTCTAGAACCAATCACAAGCCTTTCCATCAAAGCCAGTACTGCATAATCTTTGTAAGAGCAAAGTATGATCAACTGTATCAAATGCGTTTGTCTTACTTTCTAAAGTGGATACTATATATTATTTGTAACTAATGTAATACTTGAAATAGTGGTTCTAAATCTGGTTTGGTTCAGAGTTAAAACAAAGTGACTTCAAAGAAATGTCTTCTTGAGTTGGTTATTTCTAGGATTTTTGCTAGACAAGTTAATTTGCAGATTGGTGTGTAATTAAAGATCATTTTTATCACCTCCTTTTATGTAATGGAATTACATGGGCAAACTTCCAAACATTAGGAAATGTGCCTGTTGTGATAGAAAGATTAAAAATATGTGTTAATTGCTCTGTGTCTAAATGGAGTGGAAAAAAATAAAAAAGGATCCAGTATATGCTCTCCAGCTGAACTCCTGGTATCAATGGCTTGTAATACTTTTAGGAGATATACTTGGAGAGAGGGGCTGAAATGTAAAATGAGAAACGTGGTTAATGGTACAAACATAATCATTAATAAGGGCCCCGTGTAATCCTTTTTAAATAAATGCCCAGCATCGGCAAAATGTCTATTAAGAACAAGGCAAATGTCTTTCCGTTCAGATATCAAGCCACAATTAATATGTGCAGGATTTTGTTTGAGTTTACTGCTTTCCAAAATGCTGCAGCGTTTTAAGTCAAAATAATAATTAGATTTACTGGTTCTCACAAATGATGTGCATTTCTAAGCCGTCCAAATGATGACCAATTGGATGGAGCGTCTGGCAAGTGACCAGGCTCTGTTCCTTTCTTTAAATAAAGCAGATCATTTGGGTGAAAAGCAAGGAGTTAATCTATCTTTTATTCTAAGCTTTTTGAATGGTGCATGTTTGTTAATGACTGGGAGGGGGGTCTTTGTGTTAAACATCTGGGATTTCAGATGTATAGTGTATGTTGCTCCTAGGCCACAGACACCGCAGGCCATAATGTTGTTAATCCTATTGGGAAAGATGAAATCAATTAGTCTAGACGATGAGTAGTCTATCAAATTTGGCCTAGTGGGCTCTGTAATCACCTGGGATAAATTGAGGTTACTACTGACCTTGAGATAAATAAGATGTATTATTCAGCCAATTCAGATAAAATTCATCCACAATTACCAAATTATGCCCCAACTAGGCCTTTCGTGCAATACATTCAAATATTTTGGTATGGTGACAGTATTTAGAATGGTTACAGAATTGTGTGTGGCGACCTGATTTTTTCTTTCCCCTCTGATATTCAGCAACCACAACCTAATTATCCTCTCTGTCATCTCTTTCTCACTTTCTGTCTCTCTCCAGGGAAATTACTATTCTCCGTCAGTTTCTTGGTGTTCCTTCTGATGCTCATATTGCTGGGCAAAGGTTTCACTGTCACCAGGTAGGGGTTTGAACTTTTTTGCAGCTTGTGTGTGTGTGTGTGTGTATACATGTATTTCCTCAAGCCTATGTGTTTCTGCGTTTATGAAGCCTGTCACCTTGTGTGTATGTTTATGCCACCACTGTCTCTCAGTGTGAGGCCCACACTGTGACAGTCACTATCTCAATATATGACAATGTTAGGTGTCAGTCAAAAAGTCAGTTAGTACACTGGGTCTGATGTGTGGATGAACTGCTACATCTGGGGAATGTGACAGACTGATGCTGCTGGGTTGTGAATTTGATGTTGTTTTTGTGTTTCTTTTATACATTTTTGGTTTGCTCTTGCTTTTGTTGTCTGGCAAGGCTTAAGTGACATTTGCTTAGGACAGCCGTCATTTCAGGTAACATGCACAATAGATGATTTACTGGAACATCAGCATGTATCTATCTCACACCTGACTGGACAAATGCCCAACTGTCAGTAGTCTTTCCAGTTGTCCAATTCCCATTTTCCATTCCAAATCCAGTTAATAAAAATGCCAGCTGAAATGTTTTCTGTTTTCTATCCCCAGCAGTTTTATGTGAGAAAGGACCCAATCATGCTTTTTAAACAGCTAAAATAACTGGCCGTTCATGAGGTTTTGAGTTTTGATTCGTGGTGAATCATCATCTAAACTACAGCTCATAGTTTGAAGATTGATCTTGCTTCAGGCTCAGTTGAATCTCTGTGGATGTTTTTTTCCAGACTCTCCAAACTCTTCTAGCAAAAACTGAGCTTGCAAGATATGAGCTGGCTTTTTTGACTTTAGGATTACATCCTCCTCTGGGTTCAGAAGATTCTGTGATCTCACTCACTTATTAAACCCTCTTAAAACCCCAGTGAATAAACTTAAAACTGCAACGCCATCAAGCTAAAAACGTGGTTTATCTACAGTAACTGATAAGTTAACAGTCTGGAGATAACTACCCAACAACTTTTGATATGTTTTTTCTGGTGTGTGTGGTGTTGACTTAGTCTGAGCGAAAGTGTGTTTGAAGTGCTGATGATGGCTTAATGCTGAAATGCTTCTATATGTTGACTGCTGCTGTGAAACTAAAGATTTCTGCTTTTGTGAGTTCAGACAGACTTTTTCACGGCCATGACTCTCTAGCCATTTTATATTTATAAAGTTCAGCACAGTCCTTTGTGTTGTGTGGTATATCATAATACATGAGTGTGTGTGTGTATTTGTTTCTTATCTTCTGCTAACTTCTGTGCGATCTCTTACACACTTTTTGTGTATGCTTGGTGTGTTAAATGTGTGTCAGGGCAAGGATCAGTCACAGTGGGTCGGTTAAGTTGAGCATCTACATGACAGTCTACACAATCACCTATGTCATCCTCTTCATCTACGAGGCAGAGGTATAGTATTACACACACACACACACACATTACCTACACTGCCCTATAGTCAACACTGGGGCTACAACTAATAATTAGTTATTGTTTAATCTATGGATTTTCCTTCATTAAATCAATTATTATTTAATCTTGTATGTAAAAAAAAAATGTCCATCACATATTCCAACAGCTCAAGCTGACACCTTCAAAGCCAACTAGGATCATTGATTTATTATCAAAATGATTGTCGATTAATTTCAAATATATCAATTGACTAACTGTTTCAGCACTCGTCAAGATTGAACTCCATCCTCCACTTTCCACACCAACAGCTAGATGGAAAAGAATTGTCCCACATTCATGTTTAGTTGGGTTTTCTGTAAATATGAGCTGCCAACTGGGAAAATTTCACTAGAGCTGAAAATTAATTAACAGCCGTTTTGAGTTTAATTCCAAGTATTCAGTGGTTTCAGCTTCTCAAATGTGAAGATTTGTTGCTTTTCCATCTATTATACCATCATACCATCATCTGCCTATTTTATGTAAATTTGGAGTGTGTTGACAGAGCAAACAATATGAAGATTTGTTTAGGATACTTTCTGACATTTCAAAGCCAAAGATTTATCAATTAATTGACAAATGACCAAATAATCAGCAGTGAAAATGCTCTTTTGTATTTTCCCACTAATGAAATTGTCTGTAGTTACTACAGGCAAAGTCTGGAACAATTAGGTTATTTTCATTTTAAATTTAGATCACTGGACACTCGTAAGTGTGACGTGACAATGCTTGACTCAGTATCTGCACTTGTATTATTGCTCTCTTTAGCTTTTTGAATAACCTCATTAAGATTCATAGAAGAGTTGGGCCCACAGATCAACATGTGCTGTAATGGCCTTTTCTGCCAAGTTTCTCATTAAATCAATACACTGCTTATTATGAATATGTATCATGTTGATTGTTAAGGGGGAAAAATACATTCCTGGATGAGTTACAAATTATGGATCCTGACAGAAACAACCAGACATTTCCCAGCTACAAACACAACTAAAGAGATTTGCAGTACTTAGTACTGTATTTGAGATCATGAATCTTAGATCACTGACTGTTTCTTTAAGGTTTCCTGGGATTTACTAACTAGTATCAGCACACTGTGAGCTCTCCACTCTCATTAATTATACTGTGTTCTGTATGTGAATTTGACCAATGAGTTATGAATTAATAACACGCTAATGAGCTACATACATCTCTGCGTACTGCAGAGGCTTCAGCACAGTCAGATGTAATGATGGTACATTTGGATTACAGTCTTTGAATGCAGTGTGGTAATGACCCAGTGGGAATAGTGCAGTGGAAGTATTCATGTTATATTTAATGCTGGAGCCTATAGCCATCTCTCCCGCTCCAATATGTGGATCTGAAGAAGTGTAATTTATCTGCTAGCTGCCCTCTTGCATGGTCCCTGCTATTAAAGAGCTCAGAACTCAGGGGAGCTCCTGCTAAAAATACCTCAAACTAGGTTACAATTGGAACTGAAATGAAGACATGAAGAGTGTTCCTGGTACTGGGCCTGCAGTTAGGAAATCTGACAGGCTCTAGTTGACTGGCTGGATCCCAAGAAGCTCCACACCGAGCCGTCAGACGTATGCATTATGTAGCAAGGGTAACCCTGTATGGCCGACGCCATCTAGTCACTGGACTGTGACATGCAATCTAGTATCCGCAGATGCAAGCACACACGCCCCACACACACCCACAAAAGTGCACACACACTCTGACGACCTAGTTGTGGAGAACAAGCGCCAATGTCAAAGACAGAATGCTACAAGCAAAGTTCTTGGCTCTGTCAACACAGCGCATGCTGAACCATGAGCAATCCATCTTAGTAATTAGGGCACAGGCTACAAAGTGTAGTCAAGCCAATAGATGCTTCTAATCTGCTTTGTATAAAAGTTTAGCTTGCTAAGAGTGTGTGTCTTCATTTTGGTGTAACTTCTTATGTTCCCGTGCCAGTTCTTTGACCCAGGTGAAGTGCTATACGCTTACGACAGCCCTGCAGGCTACGGACTGATGGGCTTGCAGCTGCTGGCCTACGTGTGGTTCTGCTACGCCGTGCTGGTCTCTCTAAAACACTACCCTGAGAAACAGCCCTTCTACGTCCCTTTCTTCACCACGTACACACTATGGTGAGACCTGCACAGCTTCCCCCACTCTGCTCTCGCTGCGGATAATAGCACCTGAGTGAGAGATTGCAGGAGTACGAAAATGCACATTTGTCTGTTTGAGGTCTCTTCAATTTGAATAATTTATGCCGCTCTGTAAAAATGTGCATGAGATAGCTGATGCTGCAGCGGTCCGAGAATGAAAAGTTGTTTATTTTACACCACCCTTCTACAACATTGTGTGCCCAACCTCTGTGCTCTACTAGCACTGTAGAGCTTGAACGAATGATGGCTAGAGGAAAATATCTGTTTTTGCTAAGTTGATAAGGTCTCTTCTATTAGAATAATTTATGCGCCCATATATGTGTGTAGATAGTTTAAAGCTTTGTACTGGAAAGTAATATTTTTCATTTACACAATCCTGAAAAAAACCTTCAACATACTCTGCTCAGCTTCTCTGGCCTTCACTCACTGTATATAATAGCACAAGCTTGAAATGAAGGGTAGATTACAAAGACTAACATTATCTCCACAATTCTTTGTCATTGCTGTCACTATCTCTCGCCTCATTATCTACGCCTCTCCTCTCCCCCATCTTTATCTTTCTCAGTGCTTTACATCTATTTCTACTCTCTCTTTCTCTCATCATCAAACTCTGTTCTCATCTTTTCTTTTAATGTGTTTTCTCCACACCATTATCCTAAATCTACTCACTTGTCTTCCTCAGGTTTTTTGCAGTGCCAGTGATGGCTCTGATCGCCAACTTTGGGATTCCACGTTGGGCCCGGGAGAAGATCGTCAACGGCATTCAGCTCGGCATCCACCTCTACGCTCACATCGTCTTCCTCGTTCGTACCACACACACACACACACGCTCATGCAGACACTTGCACGTCTACGTAGTTCACATTATTCAAGAGTCATTATTTCCACTGTCTGTCATACATTATTCACTATCCTTGAGTTATAACTGCCTCATGCTGATTGTCTCCTCCACACATCATTATCTACCTCTTCCTCACCTTCGACACATTGTTCTTTACTAATGGGCCATACTGCTCCTGCAAATTTCCTTTTATATTCATGCTCACTTCATGCATTGCAATTCTCATTTCTCACTTGGCCCTTACATGATCTGGCTATGTGTTAGCTACTATATATACTGTTTGTACAGAGTATGCATGTAATCACCATACATATCTTTTCATCCTTTTGTCCTTAGGTTATCACACGACCTTCAGCAGCCAATAAGAACTTCCCATATCATGTTCGGACGTCCCAGATTGGGATCCTGCTGTCTAGTCCGAAAGCAGGCGAGGGAGCGGAGAGCTTCCCCCATCATGCCTACGGAAATAGCTCCTTCCTGGGAGACTCTCAACCCAACTTCACTGAACTCTTCTCCATCCAATCAGTGAGTCTAACTTTACATGTTTTTCAATGCACACTGCCACATTCATGAACAAGAGAAGTAAATGAGGTGCAGAAACAGGTAAAAGGTAAATATAAGCATCAGAATGAGAATTATAGACCATGTAATGATCTGCTGTCTCATCTAACAAAGATGCCTCAAATGAGAAGGCATCAGCGTAACAACACAGTTTGTAACACTGTGTTTTTAAGGATTATTTCTTGGCGGAAACCACCATCTCTTCCTGTGGGCTTCAGGTGAATGACAGTAAGCACAGCCTAACATAGCACACGCACTGATATGAAAACACTTGGGCACAAGGAAATAATGATTAAATAAAAAGTCTGACAAGACCAAATTAAGGCATTGTGTTTGCAGTGATGAATTGTCTAGCTTGGGGAACTTGCATATCTATGGAAGTTGCTTTTTCATACAATGCAGAAATGAGTGACAGAAGATGAGCTCTGAATCTTCAACTACACTCATACAATTTGCAGGCAGTAGCACGAATAATACAACACAAAGAGGCAACCCAAATACACAGTTAAAGTTAACAAAATGTATGACAAGTGACACAAAGTCATGACAAGGAAAGACAAGTTTACAAGTTTTAAAAGTGTCTTAAGATGAAGTTGTTTGTGATGTTCTGATGTAAGCCATTATGTGTTTTACAATCTAGTACTAGCACTTAGGAATTAATTGTCTATCTTCCTGGAAGCCAGTGTAAAGTTAGTTCCCCTGGTTCTTAGGTTAGAAATATAACACCAGAATTGCTGCATTTGCTGCAGACTTCTGATTGAAGACACCACCAATAAAACACCACGATTTCCAACTCCGCCATTAGTCTTTATTCTGTAGTATAAAGGTGGGCAATAAGAGTCTCTCTTCATTGTTGCCAGATAGAATGCACTCACTCTTTTTTAAGTGAAGAAAATGTAGTTGCACATGATTACTTGCATTGACACAGTGAGTGTCTTGGACCGGGGTGATTTGGTCAAAGTGCAAAGTCAATCTGAGTGTTGTCTCCGTAGCTGTATACAATATGGCAGGCAATCTTATTGTTTACAGTATTTGGCCTAAAGGGTGAATTTTGAGGTTATTGAAGCAGTCTCTGTGCTATAATGTGGTTGGAAGCCAGATTGAAAATTGTCTAGAAAACCACTTACAGATAAAACAAATTGGCCGTTAGTCATCCCAAGATAGGCAAGATTTTTTTTAAACTATTAAATACTGTGTTTTGTTTTGAAAGCATATATTGATTCTTTGGATTAAGGGGCTAAATTCTGTAACCATGGGTTTCAGTACATTTGGTGAAATGCGTGATGAGCCATTCATAGGTTGCAGCACATGAAATGCTAAGTAATGTATATGTAACTGAAAACAAAGAATCAAATGACAATAAAGACAAGTGAGAGATGAATTGTGCTGAACAATCCAAGTCATCAGGAAGGTATTTCTGATACTTTGTTAACATGTTTACATAGACAACACAAAGGTAAGGCTGGACAATATTTAAATGACTGTTTACCAAATTTCAGCAGAATCAAACCACAATTAAGTGATCTTGTGTTATATTTTTAGCAAATGTTTGTTGACTAAAACTAGTTCCTAACATGTTGGGTTTACATATGTGAAAAGTCTGGCCTAATTCACTGTAATGCATAACAGTGAAACCCAGTACCCAGTACTTTACAATGTGAGAATGTTCTTCTTTTCCATGTCATATAGTACACTAAGTTCATATATTTGTTTTTTTGGACTGTTGATCAGACTAAACAAGATATTTGATGACGTAACATTGGGCTCTAGGAAATTTTGACGGACATTTTACACTGTTCTTCTTATGTTTATCAGACCAGACATATTAATCAATAATAAAAATAATCATTACTTTCAGCGCTGGATTTTGCATACATTTAACATATTGTGATACGTATGTGTATCTAAAAAAAGTGTCCATAATATCTTGAAAATGATTTGAACCATATTTGCCATGTCCACATAAAAGCTCAGCCATACATTAAACACTCGTGTACATCAGGGTCAGGTTTGATAAACTGTAGCTTGTGGAGAGTAAAGTAACTGAACTGGAGGTCATGAAACCCAGTGCATGTGTAATTTACCCTGTCCTGTACAACCACCAGAGCATCAATGAGCTGTGGAGGAGGCTGTCAAAATGTGATTAATAGTATGGTGGTACTGGCGCAGTGTCTGCATGGTCACTTTCTGACCAGGGCAGCACATTTCTGGAACCCACAGCCGGAGCAGGTCATAAGTGTAAATCCATCATCTTCTTCCTTCCAGGATCCGGTGAAGACGGTGGAGGAGACGGTGGCCCGTAAAGGACCCGAAGTGCCAAGGAACAGCGAGCAGAAGATTATCACCACTGCTGCTGACTTGACGTCGATATTGCCCCCACCTCCGCCCCCGATACCACCACGTCCGGCCGCACGCTCGCCCCCGCAGCCGCCCCGGCTCCCTTCCTTCACCGAGTATTTCAGCATGCAGGGCGGAGGAGGAGGGGGGTTCGGAACAAAAGCATAAGACGGAGAGAAAGACGGAGCAGAGGGCAGCACAGAGGGAGAGAATGACAGTACAAAGTAAAGAGTGGAATCAAGGTGTTACTGTTTAAAGACCAAAGGGACGGGCGTAAGAAGTTTGGATGGACGAAGTGGAGAAATCACTAGAAAAGTGAATCCCTAAACGGTCCCTTTTCACCTGTGAATGGAAATAACCCGAATGGAGGAGTTGAGGGGGAAATGGCTGTAAGATAGGAGTGCTGAGCTTGTTAAAGAATAAAGAAGCAATAAATATTTGATTCTGACCAGTAAAAGGCACACAGGGAGAAAGATGACAAAGTGGATGTAGCCAGAGCAATAGAATGATAGCTGTGCACGATGCGGAAATGAACACAATTCTTGAAATACTTTTATTCAAAAATTCATGAGGCATTGATGGTGTGCCTGGAAGAGTTTGTAAATAGCTAAAACTGGAGAGAGCTACAAATCTATATAGTTTTATTTAAAAAAAAAAAGTTTTCATGCTTTTTCTTTCTCCACATTAGTAAATTCCAGTTGGTGCTGTGACCATCAAAATAATCTCATGCCATTACATTTATCCAATTCATTTAAAAAAAACAAAAACTTTTTTTTATGTTTGACACATTTTGATAAAGTATAGATATTTACTCTATATGGAGTTTGTTGGGTTAATTTATATTCTTATATGCCTTCATTGCAGCTGGTTATTCTGGATTGATATGCTGATGTGTAAATGTAAAATGTCACGTTTACTGTGGGCACTTCTAGGTACTCGTAAAACACGCATGTTTGTATTGTATTTCCCGTCCAAAAAGTTGATAAATGTACTTCATGTGACCATACAATATTCGCTTATTGTGTGTATTGAAATCTATACTTTTGTAAATACATACAATAGGCTTTAGTATATTTTTGACTGGATAAATTCTGTTATTTGTTATTCCAATCAAAACCCTCTTGCGCTGTCTGAAACACAATGTCAAACCAATATCACACTATATTGGTTTTAATTGAAGAGTGCAGAATATACCTGCTCAAAAATGTCATTTCTGTGTATGTAGACGTTGGTGAATGTACTGATGCAATACAGCACAAGGACAGGGGTGATTTTAAAGTTACTGGAATAACTAGAACAATACCTTTTGTCAAACTCTCTTTTCTTTCTTTTTGGCTTCCAGCTCCAACACATCCATGATTTAAGTGCAGGAGGCTGCCTTTTCCCAAAAACAAGTAACTTTATCCTCACCCCTGTCTAGTACCTGAAACATGAGTATTCGTTAGCTTTATCTCACTTTAATGTTTAAAGTGTGCGAAAAGCTGAACAAATATTAGTGGTTTTGTATCCCTAAGCTTTGACATTGATCGATGACAAAAAAAAAAAAAAGAGCGTTGTAGCTGAACTGTGAAAACGGCAACACAACTGTACATTTTGTCTGTCCTGCATGGAGCACTTTAATGTTCCTGGTCTTAGTCTGTTTATTTGTGATGATGTCACCTTATAAGACTGCTTTGAAACCTGTATTCACACCACATCGAGATGTCATCTATTCCAGATGCATACACCTGTAAATACAGTCTGAAAATGTCGTCAACTGATCGGACACTTTAGGGAACGTATCATGCTTATTAGCGTAATTTAACATTGAATTACTGAAAAGTCATAATGATAAGTCATGTGAGTTCTCCACCAGCTCACTGCAGTTCAGAAACTGAAAACAATCTTGAGCCTTCATTGATTTCTAAAAATGGTGGTACTCAGCTAATAGATTTATCTATGGCAATCCTGCAGTAATGGAGTACTTTAAGATGTTAGCACTGTGGTGTATAACTTGTGAGAGTTTATCAGAGGTGTAACTTAGTCTGTGAAACAGAACGATTTCTGATTACATGTCTGGTTTATATTAGGCATGTCTGCCATTTTGTCTGCTGTTGCCTATTGTTACGGTTGCCATGACTTGACTGAATAGACGCTGGGTAACTCGACTAACAGACAAGCTTACTGACACTGTATCAAAGCTTCAACCTTGTGTATACTGACATACAATTACAGGACTGAGACACACTCTTAAGGGACAGAACTTAAAGAAAAGAGATTATGTATGCATGACAGAAAACAGCACAGCTTTTAGGCGACTCAGAGAGATCTGGTTAAGAGCACATCACCAGAGCACTGATCTAATGCATTTTAATGGTGTCAATTCTAAATACGCTGTACATATACACTTTTTGCCAAAATAAAAAAAAAAGGTTTTATTAGAGGCCTTGTCTGAGCGTGTGTTTTATTTGGCTACTGTGTCTGTGTTCTAGTTAGGACAAGGGCATGGGTCCAAAGGAGTCAATCTAATATCTGTAAATCATATTTAGAAACTGTTCTCATTACAAGAGTCTATTAAAGTAAAACACCACAGGGACACACTCCAGGCTGGTCACAATCTGATGTAGGCTAGCCTAATTATGTCCATGTGCCAGTCCGATCTCCAGAAAGGGTCTAAATTACATTTTTTGGCAGCATTTTGTAGTGTTGAGTTCAGGAGTTAATTTCTGATGAAGAAAATAAAAATCTAACTCCTTTTCAACTGTGTACATCTGCCTATACATTTGAATTCAACCCAATACAATAGTCTAACATAACATGTAAAAACGGTCTTTGCTAATCTGTTCCAGTTCAACTTTGCTGAGACATGGCTCGTGCTTTCGAATCATAAAATATTACAATTTCATATGTTGTGTTAGTCTACCAGGATGACAAAAAAAAATATATAGCAACATTGACTTGTCATAAAGTCTCTTCAGTGTACACCAACTTAAATGTGAAACTTTCTAATGCCTTTTTTTCAGTCCCAAGTAGAACACAATTTATTACCTTTTGGGAATGTCAGAAAACCAGTCAGGACAATTAGGCCTACAATTATTAAGAACACAAATGTATTGACATTTATATCACATTTTTGTCAACACTTCCCAGCTGTATCTAACAATAGTTCCTACTAGTATAATAATCTAATTAATAAGTTAACATGACCTAAACTTAAATAAGAGTTAGAAATTGATGGATAGATTGATAAACTAAAAAATAATTCATTAACATTTTTGCTAAAATGATCACTCACTAAGAGTCGTTGAGCTACTGTGGCTTGTAGTAGCAGTAACACTGTTTGCTGCAGGTCTGATGGCAGACTGATTGTGCTCACAGGATTAACAGCCTCCTGCGAGCACAATCCACTGTCGCAGCAATCACTTTAAGTTTTTAGATGTGTAACGTCTCATGACTGCCTGCAAGCACATACAAAAAAAGTTAATGTCTACAGCAGGCAAGAAGAAATATTCTTTGTAATACTTTCTATGGCCTTTCTTTTGAGAGAACTGAATTGAATGCTTTTTAAGACTTCAAGGCCTTCAGATAACCTGCCATAGCATGAACAGCACAGGTATAATTAATAACTTTAATGATGGTTCAATTCCATTTATGTATTTGGACTGGAGGCGTCCCGAATGGTATCAATTACACCTGTGCTTCTCCTCCTACAAGCCAAAATGTCTGCTGTGAAGTAGTATTGTAGTAAGGCGTTAGTTTTTTTTTATCCTGTACAAACTGAACCAAAAAATGTGGCCTGAAAACACAAGAGTTGAAATGCCACACTCGTAAAATTCTTTCTGAAAAAGGTGAGGGGAGGCTTTTCAATTGTGTAAGAAACAGATTCACATTCTTATCTGTCCAGTTATTTGCTATCAATCCAAAGAAATCACTATTTAATTGGGGTACTCCACCAATTTTTCAAATGCACTTGTTACTCGTCACGAGGAGTAGTGGTAAACAGTTGTCTTCTGTGACCGCAGGGAGCTTTCCAAAGATTAGAATTGAAAAAAAACAGATGTCAGTGATGTCATCACTTGTGATCAAAGATTACAGACAGAATCACTGCACCCCAAACTGGAGGTGTGGAGTTTGAATGAAGTAGGCATATAAAGAACATGTTACACACTAATGAGAGATGCTATGCAGCTGCATTATGAGAAATGTAGGATCTAGTTAAACTGCGCCATTCTACAGTCTTTGTTTTATATTTATCTGCCTCATAAGCTCCCCAACTTTATGAAAGTGAAATACTCAATAAAGTACTCCTTTAATATGTACCACAAAAGCATGTTTTATTTTAATTTTGTGTGCTGCTGTCTCCCTTGGTCAACAGGGCAAACCTGCTAACAAAGTGTTCAAAGAAATAAAGCTAATAGCTGTTACTTCTGTTTAGAAATTACATTTATTAACACAAAATCATTCTGGATTGTCCTTTTACAGCTATTTCCTTGCCCTCAGTTGACTCTGGAGCTGGAACTGTTCTTCTGGTGATGAATTGTATCAGTCTATAAGTCACAATCTGCAGAATCTGCAAGTGACTCTTCAGAAGCATTTCAGCACCCAAACATCATCCTTCAGTGACCACAATCACTGATCCAACACTAAGATAGTGTTAATTAATTTTTTGCAGCTAACTGTTGTGCCCTCTCTTCTCTGTAGCCTTTGAGCAGCTGGTTGATGAGAGTGAGTTCATTCTCTTTTTTCACAGGATAGAGAGGTGGGAAGGGGTTGCCTTTGTACTCCAGGACAGCCATCTTAGCTCTGTCCAGGTTCTGTCTGTTTGGGAGGCGTGCTATCCGTGTGTAGTCCTTTGACTGAGTCTCAAACCGTGGCGCAAGGACCTTGAAGAGCTTTGGGATCAGATCCTTTTCCTGGAGAAGAAGAAGCAGACACAAACTAAACAATGACTTTGACTGTTTTACATTCAGAGGGACACAGCGTGAAACTTCACACAGTTGAGAAGCACTGCAGACACGTACCGTGAGCCAAAAGCTAGCCATTTTCATTGCCTTCTCATCAGTGTCTCCCTTTTTGGCGTAGTCAACTAGCTGGGTTAAAAGAAATAAGAAAACATACAGTCAGAGCCCTGTGTGTGGAAGAAAGAGAAATTTAAATCAGAATATGCTGTTAGACTGTCTTTACATTAAAATGATTTGGTGAGTGCAAATACATGAAGTTAGACATTGTGGGCTGTAAATTTTAGCGACAAAGCAAATTAAAGTTGGCATGTGATGCAGTGATTGTTACACTAAGTACGGGGATCCTAAAGTGTCAGCTTTCCTTTCATTACAACCACTAGCAGTTTGCATATGCAAAACATTTATAGTATCGAATAGTGATCCAACTATATTGTGATGAAAGGTAGTATATGCACTATATGGCCAAAAGTATCTAGACACCCCTGTCCACCCATTTTTTTGGTACATTTGGTCCGGGGCTGTTTTTGTGATTAGGCTCTTAGTTCAAAACTAAAGGAAATCCTGCTACGCTACAGCATGCTTTGATATTTTACTCAATACTGTGCTTCAAACATTGTAGCAATCGGTCCTTTTTCTGTTTCCACCTAACAATGACCTCATGCAAAAAAGGTTCATAAAGTAATAGTTTTCTCAGTTTGATATGGAAAACAAGACTGGCCAGCACAGAATCCTGACCTCGACCCCAACACCTTCGGAATTAACGGGAGAGCAGACTGAAAGCCATGCCTTAAAGTTCAACTTGAGTGCCTGAAATAACTAATGCTCTTGTGGCTGAATGGGAAATAAATCCAGTCTTTCCAGAAGAGTGAAGGCGGTTAAAGCAGTATTTTAATTCCCATGGTTTTGTAATGCTCATATAAAACATCTAGAGCGGACTTCTGGACTTAATGTGTGTGCACATCATGTTAAATTCTTAGTCTAGATGCAGGATAACAGATTCAATGAAGGAAATTAACTTTGTCAGTACCAGTAACACCATCAGATTCCTGTCACAGTTAAGTGTCCTGTACTGAGCATTATTGTGTTTCATGTATGAAATTCTTAATGTTAAGTCAAATTTTTAGTCACGGCCTAAAATATGCGCTGGTAACAGTATTTGACCTTTACGTGTCTGAAAACAAACTTAAGGGGTGGATGCATTATTCAGCAAAACTGGATTTCTACCTGCCAATATTTTCAGCCAGGAAGACAATCATATATATGAAATTCTCAATGTCAAGTCAAAGCAGCCCAAAGTATGAGCTGGTAACTGTGTTTGATCCTTAAGCATCTGAAAACAAACTTAGGAGGTGGATGTATTATTCGGCAATACTGATTCTGTACCTGCCGAGATTTGCATCCACCTGTTTTCTCAGCATATATGAGTTCGATGTATGAAACGCTTAATGTCAAAATGGCCCTAAATATGAGCTTGTAACAGTGTTTGACACTCACGTGTCTGAAAATACTGATTCAATAACTGCCGAGATTTGCATCCCTTCCTTTCTTAGACCAGGTGAGTGTTAAATGTATGAAATTCTTAATGTCAAGTCATAACAGCACAAAATACGAGCTAGCGACAGTGTTTGACCCTTGGGTGTGTAACATAGCATTCTAGTAGTGTGGTGGTAGTAATGCACACAGTAAAAAAGGAAGTGAATAAATGCTGGTATTATTAAACTTTAATGTGCATTTTGAATTTTCACATTGGCTGTGACATCTGTGATAGGTGGTACAGATAATAATTATAATAATATAATTATTATTAGTAGTTGTATTAGTATTAGTAGTAATTTAGCTGACGCTTTCATCTAAAGTGACTTACAATTGTAATATATGTCAGAGGGCAGAGCAACTAGTGGTGAGACAAAGGCATTTGTCTCATCCACTGCCCCATCTCGACCACATAATTTTTTAAATATATATTTAGGTCTATTCTTATCTTTTTCTTTTTTTTTTACTGCCTTATGTCTTACCTGTGTGTGTAATTTATATTTTAATCAACCATTAAAATGTACATGTGTGTATTTATTGTACTGGTTTACAAGTTCATGCAGAGTGCTGCAGTCCTGTTGGGTCTTTCTGTTCTTTTAATTCTTATTAAATATAAATAATTTTTCATATTCTGACTTTTTTTGCCAGGGGTTACAAAAATTCTCAGTATTCAGTATTTTAAGAGATTGAAACAAAATTTACTCACAGTAAGGAACATGTGCGTGGGGCAAGTCTGTACAGTACAAAACACTGTGTATTTATAATATGGGCTTTCCACTAAAAAATGTTTATCCTGTTAATTAACTTAATGATACTGTAAATTTAAGACTGAGAAAGGACCTTCTGTGCAGATAAATATTCCAGTGTGGAATAACTGGCTTCACCCCAGGACTCGTCTAATACTGTATAACGTTAAGTTAGCTTAATTACCAGCTAACGTTTTGTTGCTAGCTAGCTAGCAGCACCACCAGGTCGTCGTTACCTTTTCGGCGTAGAAGCGGACTTCATCTGCTCGGGCCAGCGTGGTTTCTATCCTCTCGTGTCGGACCAGTCCTGTCAATATGTTCCGCAGCATGTTGATTCGAGACTGTGGACCCATGCCCATCTTCCGGGCCACCCGGCCGTGGGAGATCAACATTTGCAACGTGAGACGCATCTTGTCTGGTTAGATTCGCCTGCAAATAACCGCGACACACAAAAAGACAACAAAACTACACAAAGGGAAATGTTTCCGAGTTAAGCGTTTACTCTCTTCAAACCGTCCTCTATCCAGATTGTAGGGCTGTTACCTCAATGTAAAAACATAACGTGAGGTCAGTTGAGTCAATGTGAAGTTTTCTGGGTTGGGTTTGACATTGGTGGTGCGTCGTCAATTGTGTCCGACTTGGTCATGGGGATGGGGAGGACAGTTCCGCTAAACACACAGGAACCACCACCAGAGATGATAAAAACCAAGAACCACAGCAAAAATATCAAGACTTTATTCTCATTCTTAAAAAGAAGTGATAGAGAACACTTTGGTGTCTGTATATATATTTGTTACACTGTTTGGTTGGATCCTTATTTAATTATTACAAAGGTATTTATATAGGTGAGTTATTTTTATTTCAGTGTTTCCTAATTTCTACAGACTTTTTCATTACTTTAAAACTATTTCGTCATGGTATTGTTCTGTTTAATCTGGTATTTGTTGTCTGGTATTGACTTCAATGTTGTATTATATGATTTTTAATTATAAAATGTAAAACATAACAAAGGTTTTAAGTAATCTAATGTCTTTTTAATTTTACCTAATTTCGTTCACTATGTAGGCTTGCAAGGCAGACCAGAAGGACAAAGAAAGAGACAGATAGAGGGATAGAAAATAAAAACATAATCTAGGTGTTACACTTGTTTTATTGCATTCTCTATTACAATAAGCAGTTTCATTGACACAGGAGTTTGCAGAAACAGCTGTAGCAGATTGTGATGGGTCACAAATTAGTTTAGAACATTACAGCCTGAATTGTTGTTATTAATTGTATTGCCATCATTCCATTACGTACAGCGTTCATCGTTTAAGGTATTATTTTAGAGGGTAGAAGTTAGGATCACAGTGTCAAAACTCTAAAGCTCTTGTCACCAGTTAAAGAGTTATTTTATAGGGTAAAGTTAAGATCACATCGCTGAAACTCTATAGCTCTGAGAGTGTGTGGTCCTCTCTGTGTCTAGCTGCGGCAGTAACAGTAGCACAGCAAGGCATCATCAAAAACCCCAGCAGAGGAAAATGTAGAAGCAGAATTAGTGAAAATTGTGTTACAAAACAGACATCAATACAGTAAGAATATCCTGTCTATAGCACACAGCATAAGAGACACCAGCTTATTCCACAAAGTCAGGGTTTTGGTTAAAATAGCGTGATCAGCAGAGGGCATGCCTAAGACACAGAGAGGGGGAGCATTGCAGACAAAAAGTTGGAAATCAGGCAAGAAACAGTCATCAGTGATTATCCTAAATCAATATTAATAATCATTATTAATCATTTTAATCAGTTTTATTTTCATTAATCAGTAAGTAATCATTCTTGTATCATAATTTTTAAACCATTTTATTAGTATTAATCATTCTTAATCATTTTCTTTTTACCTAGATATGCTTTGGGTTTTACTTATAAGTAGTGAACTGTAGTCATGAACACAGAAACAAGCTCACTGTGGTTAGATCCTTGAGTGGGAGGAATGACTGCAGGAAGTGGCTGCAGGTGGTTTACCTTGTCCAACTGTCATCTACTGTAGATTATGACCGTAGGAGAGGCTGCAGGTGTGCAAGATCTGCAGACACTGTGACAGTGCATGCTTTGGTCTACTGTTATCTACTGTTGTTGTGATTACATGAGGAACTGCTAAGGTGTTAATCTGCTAACATTAAGACTACATGCTTAATTACTGATTAAGAGGGTTTGATTGTCAACTTCCAACCTCTGGTTATTATAGCCAGTATGAGCTTTGAGTGAATTTTCTTATGACTTGTGTGAACTTTGAGTGAACTTGCTCAAGGAATTCATGCTTTGCAAAAACACGACAGAGGATGACCAAAAAACCGGCAGAAAGCAGAAAGCAGCCAGCGTAACATCAAGAATGCTGTAAGAACCCAAGCATTAATGGAAAATGCAACTTTACTTATCTTATTCTTATATTAATTGTTTAAAAAATACAATTATGTGTCAAATTAAGCATGCGTAACCTTTAAAAAACACGGTGAGACTGAAGTTGAAATGTAAATGATGAACTTCTTATCCAGTAGTATAAAGATGTAGAAAGTCTACAATACAGTTATAAATGACAGCTGGGGAACAGTGTTAATTGGTAAAAACAACACAATAACAGAGGAAAAGAAGTTCATCATGAGGAAAGGAGGGGGCAAACCAGCCCAGAAGAGATATATATAAGACTGTCTGCAGACCATAGGATGGACTTCATCTTCCAGCCTGCTGGGATGTTGTACAGGTTTATGTGTCCTGTTTTGGAATAAACTCTTTTGCACCGACTCTTGACCGTCTCCAGAGAAGTTCTTGTCTGCAAGTTTTTTGACTATTGTGGAGATTTAATAGAGTATTTTTTGACAAAGTTTTATTAAGTTGGTGAAGGTGGGGACCAGGCCTAACTGCCCCAGCCTGGTCGTACATACTTAGTAAGTGGCCATGGTGCTCTGAAGCCAGTCTGTGAAAATGCAGGTCTGATGCAAAAGAGAGGGAAATGGAAACGCCATATTGAAAACTTTATGTCAGGCATTGAGAACCTTTTTGTGTCATGAAAGAGAAATAGATTATAATGCTGTGAGAAACCTTTTTTTTTTTTTTTTACCTTGGCATAGAAAACGGGGTGGTTCTTCTGTGCACACCCAAAGCCCCAGGACACAGCACCCTGCAGCTCACCGTTACACACAACTGGACCACCAGAGTCACCCTGAGAGTGGGGCAAACAAAGCTAAACATATACAAAAGTCTCAACAAAGTGCTGAAGATACTAAACAAGTCAAAAATACATTGTTGCCCTTTGTGCAACAGCAGAGACACACACCTGGCAGGAGTCCTTGCCTCCCTTCAGGTATCCAGCACAGAATATGGCCTCAGTGATCATGCAAGGAGTTGTCACAGTCCTCATCAGACAGGATAGGGATATCGAGGCACTGCAGCCTGCTACTATCAGCAGCTGTGGAGATGCAGAACCAGAGACACAAGGACAAATTACGGATGGACACATGTAGAGTGAAGAACAGAAGCCCTGTATACTTTGGATACTCTGAGGAGCTCATGGTCACACCCCATCCAGAGACTATACACATGGTGCCAGCAGGGGCACAACCAGTTGGCAGAGCCACAGGCCGATGGTTGCAGGTTTGCTAAGCTTGATCAGCATGATGTCATTGTTTACCAGCCAGGACTCGTACTTGGGATGAGGGATCACGAGAGCAGCAAGAAGGATCTGCTCATTGCCATCCATGAACCAATGATTGTGATCACCAAGGACAATGTCTATTTTGCTGAAAGACAGGTACAAGTTGTGATTGACACAGAGAGAACAGAGAACATGAGAGATTACTTTTAAGAGACAAGTGCTTTTTGTTATTTTGGAGATGATGTCTGTGGAGCACAGCACCCACGATTTGTAGCAGTGAGCAGCGGACACCACCCAGTACTCATTAACCAGGGGGCCACCACAGAAATGGTAGCCAGAGTTCAGAGACACCTGACTGAGCTGAGAATGGGGCGTGCACTCTCGCCCTCCAACAATTTTGTTATCCTCTGTGGCAACTGAAAACAAAGATGAATGGTATCTATACAAAAATGTTACTCTCCTCATGATGGGTTGATGGTAGATGGAGATGGAAAGACTTTCCTAGACCCATGCCGGGTTTTTATTGAATGCTTTAGCCTATGACAGCTAGTTGGCATCATCTGCTGCTGACTAATTAAAACCCTCAAAATGTGTTGATGGGAAAATGTTACCATACAAATGTGGCCATTATGGGGCTTTATTCTGAAACCGTGTGAATTAATTTTGTTTGATCCGTTGTTGCTCTGGCCTTCTTTGAGTATACAGGTTGTAATCTGCATCCTGAAGTTGATTTGGCTCCAGATGCTGTGCCAGGTGGAGCTTCTCCCACAGACTGACTCACTGGCTCTGGCCTACGCAAATAAAAACTGCAGGGAAAGCTCTCCAGAGCATCTACTTCAAAATGTATATATTTAGTTCCATACAATGCAGTTCAGCGACTTTAATGGCATGATAATGTATCATGTCATGAGAACAATATTGTCAAAGTTCCAAAGGGAAGAATGAGTTAAATCAAAAATGGCGGTAAAAGGTAAAATAAACCACAACAGTAATTGTCACTGAACACAGCACACTGAGGCAGCATTATTTGTCACATTCAGTGGGATGTTCTCACTTACTTTGACTCAGTTTATGACATACAATCAATTATTGTGCCGCTAGACATGCTACCAAATTAAATTTCTACGACATTCTACTACAATATAATCATAGGCTACTTGTCACATTTGAAAAGAAATAGCATGTTTGTTTCCTTTTTGGGTTTCCTGGACTGCTTGTGTCATCTTGTCTTGTTCAGACTGTTATCAGTGAAAGCATGTTCTGCTACATCATATTCTCTCACAGTTATTAACTACAGTGCTTTTATTTTGTCTGTTGCATTTGTTTATTTTCTTTCTCTGCAGGGGTTGTTGTTTGCTCTTTAAATAAATTGACTTGACATGACTGTCAAGATAACGGGCTGTTTGCAGAGCTGATGAAGTAATTCAGACTAAAATAATTATAAACTAAGTCATAAGTTATTTCAGTATGAGAATTCATCATTTAACAAAAAAAATTAATACATCCAAAATTCAGTAAAAGAAATTGTGGAATTGTGGAACATTCAGCTCCAGGTGCCCCCAACATATATCATAAAGGACATTCTGCATTCAGTCTGTTCACATGAGGCTTTTAAACCAATTTGAACACCAGCTGTAGCACTTTAAGCATTTAAGTCACATACTGTATCTCTTAAAGGATGAACTTTTATTTAACTTATGTAAAAAATTTGAAAAAAGCCTTGAACCATGTTCCGTATGCAGGCGCACTGCACTTCACTGCCATTTTATAAAGGCAGTTTATATACACAGGTTGCTGCTGATATACATACATATATATATATATATATATATATATGTATATACACACCCACACACATATACACACCAGCAGCTCACTTCCTTTCTTCATTGCCAGTACATACTAGTTGCCATGTGCTTTGTACTTTGGCTTTTGAGCAACCTGAACCACACTCTGACACTGGTCCTTGACCTGAATTTGCCTGCCAGT